AAAAGATAATAAAGAAAAATAAAGAAATTTATTTTTAAATTATTTCTAAAGTATTACTAAATTATTAATGAATTATCTATAAACTATTATTAATTTTAAATAAATTATATATTTATAATTCTGAAGTATTACTGAAGTATTATTACTGAAATATAACTGAATTTATAATTAATATACTAATTAAATCATTTTAAATTATATATTATCTAAAGATTGATTGATTAACTAAAAATTTAAAGTTTGAAAAATTATAAAATTAAAGAAATTTATATTATTATAATAATAATATCTAATAAAATATAAATAATTAATCATTTAATCATATTATAATATAAAGTAACTAATAATAAATAATTAATTAATATTCTATTAAAAGCTTATATTATAATAGAATTCTTTTTATTAGTATTTTATTTTGCAAAATTTAAAACTAAATACTAAATTTCTATAAAACTTAATAATTCTTCAAAGTTATTATTTATTGTTCTTTCTAATTTTATTAATAATAATTTTCTTAACTTAGAATTGCTTGTTCTGAAATATATCAAAATAATTTATTAGTTCTACTAGCAATTTTTAATGTCAGAATAATATATTTTTAGTTATTATTTAAGAGAGTTTATTGTAAAAGAATAATTTTTCTCTTGTTAAATTGCAGTTATTATAGTATCTACTATTTTTTGATCTGTTTTAAAGATATTATCTCAATTAATTACAACTTGTAATAGCCAATTGGAGAATTGCAATCAATTGCAATAGCCAATCAGAGAATTATAATCAAGTTGAGACACTATTTTTAATCTGTTCATAATATATTGAAGTTAATATTTCTGTTAGATGGAATTACCAAAAACCAACTCTATAGAGCTTTTAATATACCTAATAACCAATAATAGAGTAACAATATTTATATAATACATGCATCAATTTGAATATTTATAGCAGAAATCAAAAGTAATCAATTGCTTAAATGGATAAAATTTTAGATAACATAGCTTTAGTTCAAGCACTTTATAAATAACAGTTTCAAGAAGCAATCCTCATTATGTTCAACAATTCTGGCTGATTAATAAGAGTGATCATAAACTTTTGTAGCACACAACATTAATGAGTGCAGCATAATGACTCATGTAGATGAAATTTAATCCGACATCTGCCAGTTCGATTCAACTGATAATTGGAAGCACTAATATATATGACAACATTATTGAAATTAAGATGGGTATTATTTATAATTACAAAAGTAATTATAAGTTGGGGGGAATTGTTTTACAGACCACTGGGAATATCGTTGTTGACTACAAGCTGTTAAGTCAGAACTACTTTAGTAACATGGAATCTTATCCCCTGATCAACATTACCGAATTGTGTGGCACACTTATCATATTTAAAAGATGAACGGCTATATTAATATCCAATGATATTTTCAATTACAAGTTTCGGAAGTCGAATAAATTTCATGACAAATTTTGGATCTCGTGGAAGCGCTATGGGTTAGATGTTACCGAATTCGAATAAAAACTGTCGATTAGTCGAATTTGGACAAGATCATTTACAAAGTTCAGTCTCAAATGCTATCTATTTATTATTCTTTTGATAATTCGACTGCATAATAATTAATTGAAAACTTTAAAAATGTAAATAAATAAAACATTTATAAACACATTATTGTTTAAAATAAGGATATACTGTAAATTGCATACAATTATCTTCACCAAGTGATCCACAACTTGTTAAAAAATCGCTAATAACTATGCCCAGAATCACGTAAGATTCTTGCCCTCTTTAGAAAACGTTGTATCATGTAGAAAATCGGCTTTATGAATAAGATACTGTAATTTGTTTTATCTAGAAAAAGCAACCGAGTTATAATCCAAACTACTTATCCCTTTCGTTTCCTCATACATTTTTGTCCAACGATATCTGACACAAGAAACGGTAACTACGATCATACAGACTAGATACTCTCACAACCCTATATCTTAAAAATTCGTATATATCCATTATTAAATCCATCCACATAACAGTATGATAAAAAACTTTTAAGAAACGACATGCAATCGGTAATATCATATCTAACCATTAAAGAAAGCGGATGTTTCATTAAAAACTAATGAGATTCCATAAAATACAAAGAATTTTAGTGTTTTTCAAGGCTTTTTCGGAATATTATGCTTTTTTCAAGACAACGATATATAAAATTCCTTTTCGTGATCTCTTGTTACGTCATCATGTTTCCACCGTCGGATCACAATATTCATAATTGTAATAAATGTCGAAATTGTCAAAGAAATAAGTACAGTTAAGAATTTATAAACCAAATTTATTACTATAGAATATGGTCAGGTGCAAAAAGATTTAATAAAAATCATTCAAATTTTAACCAATTTTTTATATTAAATAAAAAAATGATCTAAATTAACTTTTTATATTATTTGAATTATTCTAATATACTTTAATTCAATAATAAATGAATCAATACTTTTCTAAAAAAACTAAAATAAAATTATTTTTTTTAAAAAAAAGACATTTTAAATATTATTGCCTTATATTTGATAAACATATGTTTTAAATTTCATAAAAATTGAATCAGTAGTTATAAAGATATTAAGATTCAAAGTTTAGTAATTAAATGATTTACTATATAATTTTTATATTAATTTTAATCAAATTTATATAGTAAAATAAGTTATTATTAGTAAAAATTTTTACATTTAAATAAATTCCAATACCTAATAACTTAATTAAATGTGACAGAATTAAAATTTTATTTTGAAAAATAATCTATTAATGTTTATCTAAGTACAAATCTTTTTGCACCAGACCATAATAGAAAAAAATGACAACATAAATCACTTATAAAAGCTAAGAATTATTCATATAAAAGATTAGACCATTCTTTTATTTTCATATGGTATTTTTGTGATCTATGTGATATCTAATTGACATAATGTACATGTAGATAATATAAAAGCTGAAAATATAACTTGGATAAGATATAACCTGGTGAAGACTATAGTTATAAATAAAATATTTATTTGTATGTCTCGTAATGTCATAATTTTCGTTGTTTAATTATAAAGTAATAAATAATAATGATGATCTAGCACTAGTTAAAGACCAAAATTTTTTAATAGATCATATCAACTTGTTTTTCTATATGAGTTAATATATATCTCATGATTCTAAGCTATTTATTTCCAGCACAGTTACAGGCAAGGCTATAAATAACTTCGAATGTAAAAACGCACCGTTTCTCAAGATTAGTTATTATGAATAGATGCAAACAAAGGACAATCAAATAACATACTCAACTGATAGTAGTATATGATTTTATATTCAAGCAAATGATATTTCAGATTGATATATCAAATCTTTGGATTCTACAAGTGTTAACTTGTATATTTCGAATAATTTGAATGAAGGTAAACACAATACATGTGTATATATATTACTGCAATTAGAGAGAATATATATTAGACAATATCAACTGTATAAAATAAAAATAAAATTTTCAGAATAAAAACTTATAATATTTATAAAAATATGAAAGTGATTTAAAAATAACTTCAATATGAGATGATAAATATAAAATAAAAGAAATAATAAAGATAAAAATTAAGATAAGAATATTTGTTATTAGTAATTGTAGAATCGAAGTTTTCTATAGTATGAATATAATTTATAAAAGAAAATGAATGATTTTTTCAATTAACTATTTTCTTATAAATGCAAAAAACAATTAAAAGTTGATTTATCGCATGCACTCAATCTTATGCTTTCTTTAATCTCATAAAATAGTAAATAGAAAATAAATTGAGTGAGAAAGAAATAATATGTCATATTTTACTATCTTGGAAATCATCAATATTCATCAACTAAAGGAAAAGCTATGCTTAAAATTGAGTAGTCATACGCATATTCAATATTTTACTTTTTATTTTTATAGTATACAGTTAATATATTATTGTTTAATCGCAGTAATCACATCGATTTATATCCTCATATTTTATGTTTAACAAATTTTCAATTATTTCTTCAGAATGCAATTCACATGTAAATGAACGGAAGATTAAAATATTTTGTACAACATCACTGATTAAAAAAAAGGCAAACTCGATAAACAGAAGTGGAGGACTATTAGGAGTAAATTTGTTATTAAGTAAATATGATTTATCATATACAGTGACGGCTCCTACCAAAAAATTTTTTAAACGAGATGACTGTATAAAACACTTATCTAAAATTACATACAGTATTATATCCGAAAGTAAGAAATCTTATGTGAAATAACAAGTATCGAAAATAAGAAACATTTCATTTCTGGCTACATGATAACAAGCCAATAAAAAAATATATAATATTACCTTTCCATTAGGGCTTCAAGTTAGATTTAAACATGTTTTACCTGAAAATAATTACCCTTCATTCAAATTCATAAATCTTGAAAATAAGAAAACTCCTCAGCTGGATGATCGCCAATGGGTTTCTTATTTTCGGTCATATAAGGTACGTAATTTGTTTCTCATGCTGCATAAGCAAGCATATAATCGATCGAGGTACGACAGTATTGTGATGAGAATGGGGGTCGCAAGTTTGCTCATTGATGTAAGTGGATAAAAAAGATCAGGATAATTAATTTCTGCATGTTAGCAGTAGTACGTAATAATTAGAATTATACGTACTGTATATGAGGATTTAAAAATCACCGGACTATAGATATGCAAATACAGTTTCAATTTTTTTTGAACAATATGTTTGCGAAAAAGACGTTTTTGTTTGAACTTCAAAAAATTTTTATATGGTAGAACAGCATTCTTTAATTCTAATGTACCCACAATTAGATTAAAAGCACCATAAAAATTCTAACATTTTAGTCAAAAAATATCAGTTCATTTTATAGCCAACAATTTACATAAAAGAATTATAACTCAACAAAGATTGGACAATTAAAATAAAAAATATATATTTTTGGTGTTTACTATTGCAAGAAATTTCCATCAAAGATTTCCATTCAAAGATGATGAAGGTGATTTCGTCGGAGTTCTAGCACGTAAAGAATACCCTACGTTTTTAATTCTCGGTGGCGTATGTTGCGGACTATTTGTTCTTTCCTCGAGAGGATTGTATCTAGCTTTTTTAGTATGTCGTGGAGACACAGCAGTATCCTCAGGATCGCTATCACCAAGTATAGTATCCGTGGGCGAAATACAATCGTCCAATTGATCAACGCCCACGCAAGTTATGAAATTTTCAGCACCATATTTATTAGATTTGTCAACTTCTTGTTTTATTATCCTTATGTCAGATTCATAATAGGCTGATGCGGCTTTCAATGCATTCTTATATTCGTTTTCGAATATTGGCAAAATATCAAGTTGTGCAAGCCACCCGAAATACGTGGGATAAATGGAAGCTTCAACCTGTTGATTTTGGTTATTTTGGTGTAATCGTTCTACTTCTTTACCTTTAATTGATTTTCTTTTCTTTGTTTCTGTGGTTGTCAGTCGATATTTTTTGATGTATCGGCATCTTTCCCAGTACTCGCGCTCAAGACTAGTCGAAATTGCAAAATGATATTGAATCACTTTACTCTTTAACCAAGGTTTTTCTTCGGTTGGCTCAAGGTTGATGAATTCATCTATCTGCTGGCCGACAGATGCAATCCAATAATAACGCAAGTAATCGCCAAACAAATCCTTGAGCGTTATAGGAATCAGAATTTTAATAATTGATTCGGGAAAATCCCATTCATATCGGATTGTATTTTCGCTATTTTTAATGCAAATAACGTAAGTTAAAGATCTTAAAAATCACTTCAAAAATGAGCCAGCAATTACCTTATTGTATTTTTATTGAAACAACTTGTACAACAAATCACGAGGGGATTCCAATAGATGGTTGCACTCTTTGACAAATCGCCACAAACCTGGCAGCCATTCTCGCTGTATATCATACCAACATATGTCTGTTCAGAAACACCTAAAGGCGGGGGTAATTGATAGAATTCACAAAATTTGACTCGCGACTGTTTCCAAATTTGTTGGGTGATTGAATCAATTGGCGACTTGAGAAGATCATTGAAATCTTTGCAAGTCAGTCGAAGTGATGCCAATTCTAAAGGCTCCAGATGACTACAAATCTTTATAAAAATCTCAAGATGATTTTTTATTAAGGTGAATATGGGAAATTCACGTTTTTCATGTCTCTTTTTCTCCGCGGATTTGATTGTGATAGGTATAGGTGGCTGTAGAAAGATGCTTGACATTGATGTTGATTGATGTTGCTCAATTTGTACAAGTGGCTGTGATGACATTTCGGTGTCGTTATTGTTAATGCCCATGGAAGATCCGTTAAAAGTGGATAAATCATCTTTCAGCATATCGACTTCGTCTTTTGTTATTCTCGAGTTCAAAAGCAAATCATCCATTTTTTACCAATCTATAATAAATGCCAAAATTTTTAAGCATCAATACTTCTGTAAATACTCTTCAGAAAACGAGTTACTCACACTTTGTAGTTATTTGTATATAAAACAAATAAAACACAAAATATCCTGCCAGCAAATTAAAAAATGTTTTTAATGCGCAAGTGAAAAAATATATTGAAGATTGCAAGGGGGGGATACTGATTTTATTGGTTTTTATATCTTAGTCACCCCCAAAAAAATCACACGCACGCACACGAAAAAGGGAGATTGGTTACAATCTGATTATCAATCTGCATAATAGCAACAAAAAATAACAAATAATATAAACACATTAGGCATTGTGCTGAGTGCATTCTCATCCAAAATATAACGATAAACAATTAATTAACGTTAATTGGTCTACGCCCAAAAAAATATTATCGTCATTGTCTACGTCATTGTATTTGTTTGGCTATCCCATTTTTTTTTAAGAGCATTGTATGGCTAACTATTATTTCTTTTGCTTGGATATCTTTCCCTAAGCTTTTGACAAGTATACCTATTTTACTACAGGATTATTACAATATAAAAAGTGTGACCTTTCTTATTTGTTTTATGATTCCAAAATTCACAATTCATTAGGATGGGGTCATGTTGTCAATACTAACAGTTTAAAACCAAAAACAGAAAATGAGTAAACTTAGTCATCAAATTTAATAAGTGTAATAAGTGTACTGGAATTTTGTTAATTTGAATAAACATGCATTTATATATATAGTCTTGCTAGAAAGAATATTATGAATTAAATTTATTCCAATTATAAATCGTAAAGTAAGTGCATTAATAATATTTTGCAGAATGTAATAAAATTTCTGATATTATTATACAGACTTCCCTCCATATAATCACGTCCTTGAAAACAGCAAAAAGTGCGACTTTAAAGAGGTTACGACTGTATAGAGTTCAAATTTTCTATGCATTATAATATCATAATTCGTTCCATAAACCAACCCCCAAGCTTGTCACCCGGTTCTCTATCATAGATACGAATGTTGGAAAAATTAAGAGACCCGCTTCATAGGTCTGGTTTATTATATTGCGAATATTATATCAATTATGATAAAATTATGCACGCTTGTATTAAAATTATCTACCATATATCAAGCCATTCATATAAATTCATATAGCTGAATCTTAATCAATCATGATATAATGTAACAGATCCAGTTAAATAGAGGAAAAATTGTAATATAATCGACAAAAAGAAAGATTGAATATATAATCTGGCCAAAATTATAGATACATGAAGAATAAAAGTTAATGATTACTTTTAAAAAAAGTTATATAAAATTTAACTAATATTTATAATTTTTTATATTAAATAAAGCATATTTTAATATAAGTTTTTTATATTATTTTAATATTTTATATTTCAATCTAATAATAACTGATGCAAAATTTTTGTTTTTGAAAAACAAAATCTGTGATTTTTAAAAGTTAAAAAAGTTTAAATAATATTATATGAATTTGTAATTTTATAAATTTATATTATGTAAATATATTACTAAATATACAATAAATATATATTTCAAATTTTAGCAAATTAGATAATTGTGAAAAATTCAAGCATTAAAATTCGAAAATATATTTCATAATTAATATATAAAAATAAAGCTCTTAAGCTGTAAGATAGACAAATTTTTTTGCAATTTAAATAATTTAATAATATTTATCATATCATTCAATTTTATTAATAAAAGCTTTTTTACTATATAATATTTCAAATTATAACTGTCATTTAACAATAAATTTATAAAACTTTATTTAAAATACAGACTAATAAGTAAATTTTTAAATATGAAATTTTTATTATTAAAATGAAATTTTTAATTAATAAAAATTTATTCTAACTCTAATCCTAATCTAATGAAATACTTATTTTGATTAAAATTATATAAAGTTATATTAAATTGATAAGTCTTTAAAAAATAATTAATAAATAAATAAGTATTATATAATAATATTTTTTAATGATATAAAAAAATTATGTAAATTAAAATTTATTATTAATTAATATAGAATTTTTAATATTTAAATATGAAATTAATTTTAAACAATTTATTTATTTAATTTATTAGTTTATCTTTATATAAATAAAGTAAAATTTATTAATAAATTTAAATTTTAATATAAATAATAATTTTATATATTATTTATATATATTAATAAATTCGATTATATTATATTTTTTAAGATTTTAAATAATAAAAAATTACATAAAATTTTTATATTTTAAGGTATTAATAATATTTTACTAAATAAATAAAAAATAATTAATATTTAAAAAATTCTTATATATAATAATTATTTATTATTTTTATAAGTAAATTTTTATATATTAAAATAAATAGATAATATTATTATATAAATTATAAATAAAAATATTAAATTTATATAATAAAATTAAAAAATTTTCTTTAATTTAATTAAAATTTATAAAAATAATAATAATTAAATTTATATATAGTAATAATTAAAAGTATTATATTAATAATAAAATTTATGAATAAAATATAGTGAAAATTGAAAATTTCTTTTTATATTAAAATTTATAATTTTATTAAGAAATAATTTTTATTTTTATATTAAAATAAAATTTATCAGTTGTAGTTTAACATATATTTTTTTTAAATTTTTTAGATTTTTTTCTGAAAGAGTTGCTTTAATTATAAAGTTAATGCAAAAATTTTTACTAATTAAAAATAAAATTTAATTAATAAAAATTTTTACATTAACTTTATAATTAAAGCAACTCTTTCAGAAAAAATCTAAAAAATCTGAAAAAAATATATATTAAACTATAACTGATAAACTTTATTTTAATATAAAAATAAAAATTATTTCTTATTAAAATTATAAATTTTTATATAAAGAGAAAATTTCAATTTTCACTATATTTTATTAGTAAATTTAGCTTCTGAGTTATTACTTTTGATCACTACTGTATAATATAATTATAATAATTTTAATTAGATTATTTTTTTTAATTTAGATCTTTATTTTTATGCTCTTAGTATTATATTTTTAGTTTTGTATTATTTATTTAAAGATCAATTTCATTCTGAATATATAAATAATTATTTTATATTTAATTAATTTAAATTTATATATATTATTATATAGTTAATCAATATATATTTTCTAATTATTAGTTTAAATGATTTTTATTTTTAATTAATTATTATTAATTATTTTTTTATAATTTTATTTATTATTATTTATTATATTTATTATTATTAAATTAAATATTTATTATATTCTAAAAATATAAATTAAGTTAATTAATTATATAAAATTTATATATATTTTCAATTAAATAATTTATATAAAAAGATTAAAAAGTTTTATATATAATACTCTAACTTGAAATTATATTAGTTTAACTAAAATTAGAAATAATTATTAAATATATATACTTTTATATAATAAATAAAAAAATAGAAGCAAATTTATTATCTTATTATTAAGAAATTAATTTTTTTATTAAGTATAATAAAATAATTAGAAAAAAATAAGCTATAAAAATCAAAAATACTTTATTTTTACTTCTTGAAAAAATAATATAAATATAATTCAAATTTATAAAAAGTTAATAAATATAGAAGAGAAATAAATATTATTTATTAATATAATTAGATACTAAATTATTATATTTAAAGATAGAGAAAAAGAAATTAAAGATAAGATTTATTCTGAATATTTTTATAAAGTAGTAATATTAGAAAAAGTTAGCGAATAAAATTAGTATTTTTCATAAAAGAATTTCTTATATTTTATATAAAGAGCTAAGTCTTTATAAACTTTATATAAAATAAATTCTTATAAGTTTTCAAAAAAGTATAAATAAAATTATATCAAAATTTTCAAGTAATTATTAAAAATTTTAGATAAAAAATATAAAAATATTATTACTAATAATAAAATATAGATATATTTTTTTATTATTTCAAATAAGAAAGTAAATAAGTTATAACTAAATAAATAAGAATAGATTACAAATAGTAAAAATAGCTTAAAATTCAAAAAAAAATATTTTGATATTTTTTCTATAAATAGAATTATTATATAATTTATAATTCTAAAAGAATAAATAGTTAATATTAATATTTATATTAATAAGATATTACTAAAAGTTTTTTTAAAGTATTGTTATTATAGCAACATAAAATTTCTTAATTTCTTAATTTTTCTCTAGTTATGAAAAACTATATTTTATTATAATTTTTATTTATTTTATAATTATCTCTATTTTTATATCATTTATTACTATATTTATTATTATATTTTTATTTTTAAATATTATATTTTATTTAATATTTGAGATTTATATTTTTATTATTTTGTAATATGATATTCATATATATAGTAGAATAGTATAATAGAAGATTATTTTTAATTTTGATAGAACAGTTACACTTGGATGATGATCTCAAATATCTTTTCTTATTCTTTGATTTTTTTCAACATTCTTTCTCATTCTTT